CCGGCACCTTTTTCCGGGCCGGCCGCACCGGAAATAGCCCCTCCCACACCGGAAATAGCCCCTCCCAAATTTTACTTGCATTCCTGTTCTCTAAAGGGGCGGTCCTAGGGTTTGATGAGGGCGTGGCCAGGTTTGAGTTCCGCCACCTTTTCTCCGAGAAAAAAAGCCCTGAGAAGAAGTACCCACACAAAATATTTTAGTCCCATGAACTTTGGACATATGAGTATTTTAGTATAATTTGAGCTATTCCTCTTGATTTCCATAGCTAACATTCAGATCTAGAGAGCATTCAAATATGGTGGATCTCAATTCTCAGAATTCCGAGCTAGCATGGTCTTTGTCAAAGTTGGGGATGGCTGCAATCTGTTTTACCACAACCAATTCAACATGGCATGGAAAAATGTTCTTTAAAAACAGTCAAGCATTATTGTAAAACCCATTGAATGAGTTGCAGAATGGTGCATTAAAGGCTCAGTTGTATACTTAAAACAAAAAAAAGACCAAGAAATGAAATAACTAATGGAAAATATATTATTGAGCAATAAATTGACATTACTTCAAATAAAATCCTTTATCAAAGCTATCATTACGAAACAAAATATCATGGAATAAATTTGCCAAAAATTATATATAAAATCACTTAGAAAAGATGAAATAAAAATATTACAGTTTCTGATGTAACATTTAGCAAGCAAACATTTTAAAAAGAGACTCCTAGTATTTGTTTTCTTGAAACTACTGAAACTGATAACTTTTACAAAATAATTTCATTAGTAGTGAGTTTACTTTTTTTTTCTTTCCTTGTAATTAGTTTTTCAATGCCTGCCATCCTCTTTTTTACAAACTTGATACTAAATATCCATAGCATAATCTCTTTTCAGTTACCCTATTCCTAGTGTGATGATGGAATTTATTAATAGACTTCTTGTGCAAGTGATGGCATTTAGATTATATTGACATTTTAGTCCTGCATTATATTATTTGGAGTATGGCTCACAATACCAAACACCAAAAAATATTACATTTTGTAAACTTAGATCCTTTCCTTGGTTATAACCCACTTTAAAGTCTTCTGTCTAATCTTCCACAAACAGAGTCATGTCGTGACCACATAATTTATCATGCTTGCCAAAATTCAGAGTCAGTCATACATACTAATAAAGCTTCGGACTTGCTTTCAAACAACATCCATAGGACAAAATAAAACAAGGGTATGACATGTAAATATTTATTTTCTAAAAAAGTGATAACTCCCAAGAGATTCTGAAAAGTAACTTGTCCTCTATCTTCAATAAACAAAACAAGATTAGACCATTCAACTTATGCTGAATGTCAACATAACCAAAACATTCTTTTCTGTAGGCAGCATGGCTACAAATTACAATTAATTCTATATAGAATTGCACTTAATGTTTATAGCTCTGCATACTGTTATACCTAATAATCCAGGAAAAATCTTAGTACCTGAATTTAAAGAAGATTAATTGATTGTGAAGGAAAACTAAGAAAATTAATGTTACTAACACTAGCCCTTGGTAAAGAAAACTTCTTTTTTAAACTCTTCAGAAAGCTTTTAATACAACCTGTTTTGCTTTTGGTCCAAAACCAATCTACGTGTTCATAAGCCTCTTATTAATTTGCATCAGAAAATGAATAACAACCATTTCCTCTAAATTGAATGCAATTGGCAGGTCTTCTTTTAAATCTAAATTCAGACAGATGAATTTTGTGCAAGAGAAGTGTTTCAAGTCTGTGAGTTGGTATAAAATAGCTTATTATTTTAAAAGATCCTATGAAATTAACCTGTAGAATGTTAAGGTGAGAGAGGCAAACATAGGGATTTTATTTATTTAGAGAAAGAACAGTTTGAAGCTTTGTAATTTTTGCTTGGATGTCATCAACTTGATACATTTCTTCTCCTTTCCTCTTAAAAGCATTTTAACTAAAAGGATAACTGTGCTGAAGTTCTCACCTGACTGAAAAATAGAAATGTTTATCACAAAACAAGTTTTCTGTTTTTCTCCCCTGTGTGGGATTTTTCTTTTTTAAAATACTTGAAGGAAAATCTGTTTGAGTTGTCTAAAGCTTGAAACTCTGAAATGGCTTAAGGAGCAACTCTTTGCTTTCTGGAAGTCCACCTTTGCTTACGATAAAATCTAGCTGTTCTATTGATCATTCTAAATTTGGGATTTATTGAAAGAAGATAAGAATAAAATTTTCTATCCAGAACAGATTTCCTACAAGGACCTATTAGGGTTTTGGTTCTAAAGTGAACTCTTAGGATTGCACTGTGAGTGTCACATCAAGCAAACTTTATATTCACCTGTAGCTATAACTTGCAGAAATAAAATTTCAAGTGCAAAAATAAATGCTAATTTGAGCTAAAGTTTCCTGTTTAAAAAAAAAACCTGTTTGTTTTGAACATGTTTAAAGATTTTATTTTATAGATTTATTCTTGTCATGTTTATAAAAATGTATATTATGGAAACATGATTGACACATATACACTTTTTATTTTTTTACATATGGTCCTTGTTCAACATGCAGTTGATGAAGCTGCTACGGTATATGGGATTAATTACAAGCTGATGGAGGGCTTACTCTTTTACTAGAACAAATTCTTTTCTAACTTTCATCTCCAACGACAAGAGGAAAATGTTTTACTTAAAAATTGATCACCTTTCTGTGTAGTAAAATACTAATCATCCACTTTCAAAGGATCACAAAAGCCTAAGTACAACTACAGTAAGCCTATCCACCTCTACTTTTATCAACCTGCCCTTTTCTTTCCCCTATTTGTATATCTAACTCTCTTAAATTCCATTCCATTGCCTGGTAGCCTCCTGTTGCCTAAACATTAACCTACCATGATAAACCCTCCTTTCCTTCACATTAAGCAAATTCAGTGTTTTAGCAGGTGGGCAAAGCACATGCAAGCTGTGCGCTTGGACAGGATGCCATCTTACCTCCTCCATTTTTGTAGCAGAGATATGGGAATCGCCACACGTTCCCCAACCCAATAATTTCCCCTGCCACCGATAGCACAAATTCAATTTTATTGTTCCAATGGCCTCTTTCGTGCACCTTCTTATCGTTGCTGTGGACCAAATTGGTGCTGGAGGCTTCAGGATCCTGAGCATCTTCGGGTTTGCCATTAATTGTAGGGATAGCCTTTTCAGCTGTCATGACTCCAGCCTCTCAAGCCTGGAGAAGAATGGGAAGAAAAGAAGGAAAGGGGGTCCTGTAAAGGCGGCAGGGATGCTCCTGGACCGCTTTCCACTTCGACCACAAACCGCCCGCTTCCCATTTCTACCCAAAAGGACCAAAAAGTGCAAGAAGATGCTCCGGCCAACTTCGCAAGATCGGACACACCTGCTGTATGGGGCTGGGGCGACTTGAGCTGGGAGTGAAGTGAAGACCGAAGCGGGGAAGCCCGACCTGTTTTTCTCCCACTCCCCCACCCCGTAACATTTCTTCCTTAACAGGCTTTCCAAATCTGCCCGACCTGACTCTGCCGTCCCCACGTTCCTTTCCAGACTAGCGGGGCGGAGAAGGCCAGATTCCTCCCCTGAGCGCTACTCACCCAGGACTCCGGCCGCGCTCTTGGCAGAAGGAAGAAGAGGTCGGGGCTGGTTCTGCGGTTGCCGTCCAGCAGACCTTTGAGCGGCCCTGGCCGTCCTGTGCCACTGACGCCTGGGCAGGGAGGCAGGCAGGCAGGCAGAGAGGGAGGGAAAGCAGGCGAGGCGAGGCGAGGTGAGCTGAGGCAGGCGCCCGCGGCGGAGGCGGCAACCAGCGGCGAGGGAAAGGCTCGTGATAGGCAGGGGCGGCTTCGCCTTCTCTCGGCGCGCTGTTGCTGCCCGGCTGCAAAAGCTGCTGCGCTCCGACCACGCCGCACAGCCGAAAGGGATTCGGACTGCTCAGCCTATGCGGAGGAAACGAGCGACTCCCCTCCACCCAACCCCACCCCACCCCACCGATTGCCCAGCAAGTCTCCCGCCTTTCCTCCGCCCCGCTCCTTGCCTCCGTTCCACCTCCTCGTAAACTATCGGAGGGGGCTCCTCCCCTACCTACCTTGAGGGGGAATCTGCCTACCTACACGCGCCCGGGAGGCTGAGCGCGCACGCTGGGAGCACGGGCGGTGCGAGGCAGCCGCGTTTATTTGAGAGGAGGACGGCCGAGCAAAGGCGGTCGAGGAGTCAACAGCGCAGCCTCTCGCCTCCAGTTCGCCTGGTAGTCGGGGGAAGAGAGTGAAAGCCCGAATTCCGCTACCCCACCCCGCTCTCTGGGCTTTTGTTCTTCTGGACTGGGTAGCATCTCTGGGACCTGGGTCGGAGGTTACCTAGAACCAGAGGAGGAGCGGCACTTTTGCCCTGCTTAGTCAGCCTCCCCTCTGGGAAATACTTAGGATGTGGCTTGAGAAGAGAAGACATACCTTCCCTTCCCACTGTGACCCAAATCCTGCCCGGTGAACCAGATTTTTCCCTTCCCAAAGATGCTTTTTCACGAGGCAGCTGGACTTTGTTTCTTAACAAGAAAGTCCACTTGCCTCACGAAAAAGCATCTTTGGGATAACTATGACCTGGACAACTGGGAATCTCCACAGACGGGTCCCGCCGTCTCCCCCACCGCCGCCATCTCACTGGGAGAAGGCAGTGGTGGCAGGAGCCCCAAAGGATTCCATGGGACTTCTTTGCCTCTTTTTTGACAACCTTTCCAGGTGTTCTCCTGCTCTCTTCCTCAGCAACTCAGGGGAGCTCTTTAGCTTTGAGAAGAGCTGGGTTTGACAGATAACCCATAAGGAAAGGAGGAACCTAAAGGAAGCCCTAGAGTAGCCATGGAACCTACACCTACTCTTTGTTTCTGCCAGGCTGGATCATGTGTGAATTAGGTATAAATCAGCCCTCAGACTGGATTGGGATAAATGAGCCCGGTATATAGGCAGACTGTAAGGGACCAATCACAATGGCCATCAGTGCAGCATGTTCAGAGTTGTAGAAGACCCGGTTAGGGAGAGCTCATCGTGGAGAAAATCTATGGGTTCACTAGGAGTTAAAATGGCACATAATCAAGTCAGGTCCCCAAGGGACAAAGGGAGAGCGAAAGTAGGAGCAGCAATGTTCTTCCCTTGCCTAAACCTCTCTCTTTGCCACCTTGCAAAGCACCAAAGTCCTGAGAGAAAATGTTGAAGAAAATAATCTAGTTGAAGGATTGCTGTTCCTTTTCCAAGCTTTGACCAAGCAAAAGAGATTGCTATGTATGTGTTTATTTTTTAATTCATCCTTATCTAACCCATTGCATTACTTTCAAATTAAAAAAACACACAGCTTAAATCAAAAACATATTGTATCAAATGATTTGAGTGCTTAATATTATGTGTTGGAAGGCCCTCAAGGAACAGGAAGAAGGGAGGAGATTAAATCCGGTGACCAGAAGACTGAGAGGATTTATAGCCAGCCAATTTAAGAGACTGAAAAAGAAGAGGAGAGCACGTCCTACCTTTCTCTAAGGAAATAGATATATAGATGATACTTGTAGAGGCTACTTTGTGGCTCCTACAATCCATGGGAACAAAGTGTGACAAAAGGTGTTTCTCAAAAGGATGTATACCTTTGGATTTCAAATAATTTAAGAATTTGAAAATAAGATGTTTCAGAGAGCACACATTTTATAGGAGGAAAGGAAACTAATGTGTGTGAAGTATTGGTGGGAATAAAAAAAAGTATAAATAATACATATCCATTGTGTTTGATGCAGCTTTGGTGGGTTGAATCGATGGACATTTGCCTGTCCCACACACTTAAAGCTATTTAATATAGAGGCAAAGTGTGTGTATCATTAATGCCACACATAAATGACCAGGAAAGGCATGCTAATTCTAGTGCTTTGATAAGCATGATTGTATAATATGCATACCTGAAAACTTTATCAGATTGGTGCTTTACATTTAAATGTACCAAGAATATCTTAGATGTACACTTAAAATATAATGTGTGACATCTTTTAGTACTCACAACTTGATTTTATTTTCACAGCTACAACCATGTGTTTGTTAGAAAAATGTGATATGGTAACTTGTTAAATAATATGGGTTTGAGTATGTGATTAGTTAAAACACAGGAAAAACAAAATTAATGTTAGGAAACTATCGTTGATCCTATAACATTACTGATATATTTTATATCTGAAGTGTCTAAGCACTAATGTTACGTTGCTTGAGGATGTTTTTGAGAGTTGCTTCAAGGAGTTCAAATCAGGTTCTAGTATGCTTTCTCAGAAATCTTATTTTAATCAATAGATTGATTCCAAGATTGTTGTGCATAAGAATGCTGCCTTAATTGAAAATAAATGTTAACTATTGTTACAGCCACTATCATTCTCTTCCTGTGAAACCCTATAACAAATGAAGCAATTTGATGGATTACTGTAATATCACAGGTATTGTGTATCAACGCAAGTTGGGATAACTCCTTGAGCATATGGCTTATATTAAAAAAATTTTTTAAAAAAACTATACAGGTGAATCACTTTCATCAAAAGTAAGCACAGTGAAATAAATGAAATGTGTTACTGAAATAAACATGTTTAATCATGCAGTGTTATAAATAACCACTCACCATTACCGGTAAGCAATTGTATTGTTTTTTTCTCAAAAATTGCTTTCTTTTCTTGTTTCTTTGTTTGACATAGCTTTAGTGAGCTGAAAGGCTAATAAACTGTCTATAATTATATTATTACTTTTTAATAGTAAGTAATAAATCCTATCTATTGTTAATTATATTGCCTGTCTATCATGAAATCTTTCTATTTTATCTTCATTTATTAGATTTTGATTCTGCCTTTATTACTTAATAAGTGACTCAAGGTGGTGAACATACTAATACTCCTTCCTCTCTTATTTTTCCACATTAACAGCCCTGTGAGATGAGTTGGGCTGAGAGACAGTGACTGGCCCCAAATTATCCAGCCAGGTTTTCATCCCTAAGGCAGGACTAGAACTCTTAGTTTCCTGGATTCTAACCTGCACTATAGCTTCCTGACATATAATGTAAACTCATACTAGAGCCATGAAATAGGATAAAACATCCTGAGCAACATGTGACCCACTGTCAACTCTATGGCGAGCCTGGTAGTTCTCAAATATTTACTAGACCGGGGTCCCCAACCTATGGTTCACAGCCTGGTACTGAGCTGTAGCCTGTTGGCCCCAGGGCCCTGGGAATAGCTGGCGAGCCCCTCCCCACTCATGGTAGCACTACTGCATGGGCACTAGCAGTCCCATTTGTGCATGTGTGGAGACGCTAGTACTGCCGCCAGCATCATGTGGGCACCAGCAGCCCGTTTGCGCATGGGCATTTGCGTATGCAGGTGCGAGGCCATGCTCGTGCATATTTCCCCGCTGCTCCCTTTCCTTCTGGACTGCCAAGCCAGAAAGACTATACCTTTATTATTTATTTATTTATTAGATTTCTGAAGGAAAATGTTTGCATATAGAGAATCAAGATGGTGAGTGGAAAGACATAGGCCATTTTTCAGCAATAACTTAGAACATCTTTGGATTGTTACTCAGCCACAACTGAAGCCAAATAAAGCCTTTGCTCATTACTATTATTTTGGCCCAGCAATGATTAGATGACTCTAGAAAAGTTGCTAGAGCTGAAATGACCAATGATAGGAAGAATGGAATGGAATAAAAGGATGCTCAGATATGAAAGGGACAATTTTGAAGATAAATGAAATGAAGTGTTTTGCGAATGGTCTGCAAGTGTGTGAAGAATTCTAGTACAGGAAAGGTCAACTGATGACCCTCCAGAATACTTCCTTCACATTGGATGTGCAGATTCAAACCGATAGTACTAAGTATAGAGTAAAGAATTCTATCCACAATTGCTCTGAATTAAGTTTTCTTAAGTTCCGTAGCAATTCTTCCAACCAAACATGAATTTATACAAGATGGCATTACCTCGTGAGGTGATAAGTTCTGTCAAATCTAATGACCTAGTAATGCCAGCCTAGCATGACATTAAGGAAGGAAAGAGATATTAATTAAAACCCATCCCACTTTTTTTTTTTTTACAAAAGTAATGCAACTTGTCCAAGAAAATCATGGGAGGGTACTGACACTTCCTGTCTCTAGGAGAAACATAAATCAAAAGCTGGCCTGGGGATAGTCACAAATTGCAATGCAA